GATATAAGATTTAAAGTCTTGTTGTATCCAAAATATCATGTTGCTAGAAAGTGATGACGTGCTTGAAGAACACGTTAACATGCTTCTTTTTTTAGAACATATAGGTATCTCTTGAAATAAAAATATTTATTTTTGAACTCGTACTTTGAAATAACATGAGACTTGGAAGAAAGATTCTTGATATCATGAATAAGAAGATAAGATGACATATTTGATTGAATTTGTTTCACAAAGATCAAATCAATAGTTAATATTCATTTCATTATTCAAAGATGAAAATACTTTAGTTTCAAGAATATTATTCTTAGTTAATCAAAAGATACATCTTCTTTTTTTGGTATAAAATAAGAGCATTTAGAAAGAGGATTTGATAAACCTTGTTATTTTTTAAGTTGATATGGGATCTTGAAATCAAATCTTGATAATGACATGCTCCAAAGAACTTTGCAATAATTCAAAACACATGTTATTATAAAATACTTAAGATTCTTATGATCTGTATATACCATGACTGGACTTGAAGCGCCTTCTAGACAATAATGCTATTCTTGAAATGAATCCATAATTGCAAAAAGTTCTTTGTCATGGATTTCATAGTTAATCTTAATTGCTCGAAATTTCTTAGAATGGAAAGCTACTGGATGGAATTTGTCATTTATTTCTATTTGTAAAAATATTCCATCTAAGGCAAATTTTGATGCATCTATTTCTATAAATAATGCTTTAAAAAAGTCAACACGATACCAAATTGGTGCAAAAATAAATTCCTTCTTTAAAGCAACAAACAATGCTTCGACTTCTTTATTCCATTGAAGTTTGTCTCTACAAGTCAAACATGTAAGTGGAGCTACAATTTGAGAAAAGTTCTTGAGAAAGAGTTGGCAATTTGACAAAGCTCAAAAAACATTATATAATTATTACTATTCTTGGGATCTTCCAATCTATGATAGTTTGGACTTTCTTTAGATCCATCATAAGGCCTTCATTGGAAATGATGTATCCCAAAAAGTCAACTTGAATAGTGTGGAATAAACACTTTTTCATCTTCACGTACAATCATGCATCTTTTAGTTTTTGTAATATATGATGAACATGAACTTCATGTTCTTTTGTATTCTTAGAATAGATTAAAATATCGTCCAAATAACACATAATAAAATCATGAAGAAACTCATGAAAGACATTGTTCATTAGATATTGTAAAGCAGCTGGCGCATTTGTGAATCCAAAAGACATGGCATTATATTCAAAATGTCCATACTTAGTTCAAAAATCAATCTTCCATTCATATCCTTCTTTGATGTGGACTAGGTTATATGTTCTTTGTAGATCTATTTTTATATAGATCTTTACTTCATTTAGTTGATCAAGAAGTCCAAAAATCAAAAGTAGAGGATACCTATTCTTAATAATGATCTTGTTAAGTGCTCAATAATCCACAGACATCCATAGAGATTTGTCTTTTTTCTTGACAAATAAGTTAAGAGTCCTAGCTGGAAATTTAAAATGGCATATAAAGTTCTTAGCCAAGTTCTCTTCAATGTATTCTTTGAGTGCAGCCAACTCATTTTGAAATAGGCTATAAATTGATCCAAATGGTGGTTGAATTCCTTCTTGAAGATCAATAGTATAATTATGTAGACGATGCTTTGAAAGAATATTTGCATTCTTTTTTTCAAAAACATCCTAGAAATCTTGATATTGGCTAGGAATACAACTTGGAATCTTTTCACCATCAACAAATATTTGACGTTACAAGCGAGGTTTTGGAGTTCAACAGCATATATGATGGCTGACTGTGATCTTTGGGATAAAGTTAAGAGTTTGGTCTTTGCTACTTGTTCTTGATCACTTTCTCTAAATGTGGCCATAAACACTTCTAAGAATAAATTCAAATCATAAAAGAATTATGAATCTTTTTCTATTAAAGGTATAAATTAAGAGAGAGCACTTCTTGATAGAAGTGCACCTATGAATTTGAATTGAGTGAATTCATCAAAATATTAGAAAGGATGCAATCTTACATAGAGCTTGACTTGTTGCAAAAATCTTCAAAATTTTGATTTTGTTCCATCAAACTTCTTAAGCATATTAATCATTGTTCCCATCATACTTGTAGAAGTAAATTCTCTAGATTTGATTGTAAGGTTGACATACTTGCTTTCTTCAACTGCTTAACTTTTTGGTATAAACTTTGAACTTCTTCCATAGGCATAGACATAGTACCTCCATAATTCACGTTGGAAATACAAGAAATTTCTACTCTTAGAATGTTTATAAGCTCATAAAGATTTGCAATAGTTGCAAATCTATTCTAACTTCTGCTAAAAGTAACATCCATAATTTTTCCTTCTATAGACAATTCAAACAAATTTAAAGAATTAAATTAGAAAAAGATAATCTGCAATCTCTAATAAAAATTTCTACAAAGAATGATAATCCACTCTCTTTAAAGAAAAGATTAGTGTTAAAAAATAAGATTTTTTATTTAAAGGTGGATAGTCTATAACCTTCAAAATATAATAATAGAAATGGAATAATCTACTCACTTCTAAAATAAGATAGAAATAGTATGTTAGCACTCTTGTCAAACTATAAAAGATATGAATTTCAAAAAAAGAACATCCTCAATACACTCTTGTATCACTGAAGAGAACTAGAAAGTCACTCAAAAGGTGATGTAATATTAAACTAGAATGGCTATTGCCAAAAACAAAAAAGACTAGAAAGTCTTGAAATAAGACTAAAGACTAGAAAGGTGTTGACAAGAGTGAAGAAAGCTTCAATCTTGCCTCCATATATACTCTCTAACTAGGAGCTATGTGGTAATATTCTAAAAGACTTCTAACATGTGGTCACTTTGCAAGATAAGTTATCCATGTATATGCCACATAGTTAGCTTGTTTCACAAGCTACTACACAAAGTTATCTTGTTCTACAAGCTACCAACATGTGGTTAATTTGTTGGCTAAGTTTCTAACCTACAAATACATCTAAAGAAAAAACCACATCTAAAAGACTTTATGAAATTAATCTATATTTACCTACTTCTACCTAATCATATAAATAACTATTGAGATAAATGTATATATTCGTGACACTTTTAGTCATAGAAATTAGGCTAAAAATATCTAAATCAAAACAAGAATATCAACTTAATATTCTAGTTAAACTATCAAGGACATGAATCATAATAAAAATTTAAAATAACAACACATTCTTGTGATATTCAAAAAATAAATAAATAGATAAATTAAAAATAAAGATAAGATAGAAACTAGAATAGTTATTATCAAATACAAAGAAACTAAAGATTCTAAAGTTCAAAAAAAAAACACAATTCCATGTCTATACAACTTTTTTATTAGATATTATCAAATTTACTTATTTCTACTTCTTCCTAACTCTTCTTATTATCCTAATTATTAATACCAAGGTTGATATTAGTGTCAATGGGTTATACATTAGAAATGAAACTTTGTCAACTAGATTGGTTGTGTAAAAGATGTCAATAATAAAAACTTATGATTATTATTAATTTTTTATAGAAAATCCAAGAAATAGATTTGTAACCTCAAATACTCAAGCTTTTTACAACAAATCTTGGTTTAATACATCTATAGAGGTAGTGATTTTGTTTAGTATCTAAATTTGTTGTATATTTCTGAAGTTTGTTTATATTTTGAATGTGCAAGCCTCTTTCAAGGTATGCACTTTCGTAAGTATGTTCATATTTTCTTAACTCAAGTGTGATATTGAACTCATAAGACGAAATCAATACTCTATTCATTTTTTGTAACACTGAATGAAAAATTGTAGGAATTCCAATATCTAATGCTTTAGTTCACAGCACTGACCACCAGAACAACTTGCACCTGCCTTGCATTTGAAGTTGAGGCTAACTGAATGTCAGTAAAGTGCTATGTATTATTAGTTTCATTTCGTTATAAAAAGAAAACAGCTGGGCTGCAAGGCTTTCTTACTAAGATTCTAGAACAGAACCCTTGAAGTCCAGACTTCAATGCATCATTAATCAAGCTTCTTCCATCAGAGTTCAAAGTGCAGCATGATCGAAAAGTAGCCAAAAGTACATCTCCTATTTCTGTTGTTCCGAATTCAACTTCCTTCTTTTGAAATCCATTTTTAGAGCATATTCAAAGTCAGTTTATTTCATTCATCAGTCTACAATTTCCTTAGCCTCAACTCCAAAATTACCCCCCAACACTTACTCATTCAATGCATATGTGCACACACTCATATATATATATATATATATATATATATACACATACATATACACAAAATTAATTAAATAAAATAAATAGCGGAGGATGTGGTTCGATTTCACTTGTAAACAGCCAACTCTTATTTCTGCATTCTCTTAATTTACTCCTCTTAAGTCGAGGGATTATTTGTTTACTCTGAACCTACAATGAATACACACACCATATGTATCGCAAAGGTGGGGGGATTAGTGAAATTCACAGACAGGTGGAGCAAAAGGAGGAGAAAAGCTGAAGCCTGGCAGAGAGCAAAAAACAACAGACTTGCAGACACACCCACACACGCACACAACTCAGAAAGAGCATCATAAATGGGCTTCAGCGGTGGCTACGGGCTCAGCAGTGCGGCACACAAGCAAAGGTCGTCCCTCGTTTATGATCCCATCCCGGGTTGCATCGTCAGCCCTCCAAGAGCTCTCCGAACTCCACGCCCACATCAAGCTGCAGGACCAGAAAGCCTGAGCAGCTGCTATTCAATTTGGCATGGATCGCCAAGCATGACAAAGCACAATCGTTACCAAACCCATTCATCTGGGCGTCGTCGGCTCTAGACAGGCAGGCCTATGAAAGAGAGAGAGAGAGAGAGAGAGAGAGAGAGAAAAAAGGTATCATTAATGCTGCCCCCAGGGTGGAAAATTTAGCACATACAGCCGTTTTTCATTTAAAAAATCGGAGCCGCTAAAGGTTTGGGTCATGAGAGTGCGGGGCGGCTGGCCTGGCTCCACTGACTACGAGGTGGATCATCTAGTTGGGTATTAATACTTGACCAGAAAGGTGGTCTAATAGTTGATAACTGAGATCCAGCGAAGAAGAGATGTGAAGAGGACTGACGTTGTACTGTACCTAGTTGTGTGTATCAGTCACCGACGTCTTGACCTTGAAGTTGACTAGTTGTGTGCGCTGTGAGGCAAATCTGAGAACTCTTGAGAGAGAGAGAGCTCGGGACGAAGCTGGAGTGAACCATAGATAGGGTTCAGTCCTATCGCAGTTGAGGGGAAGTGCGTAGAGATGGCCGTGGCAACGGAAGTAGCGGCGTGGAGGCGCGTAGAGGCCGACGCGGTGAGAGTGAAAAAGCGTGCGTGGGGCGCGGATGCGCAGCAGCTGATGCAGCTAACGATGGGACAGATGAGTCATTCTCCTGGGATTGCAGCATTTACCTTAGACCTGCTTGGCAACGGCAAAGCAACGGGACCGTCCTTCTCCGGATTCAATCAGCTGGAATCGACTTCTGCACCGGAGCTCAAGCTTGAACTTGACTCTGGAGATGCACCCGTTCCCTCCGGCTGGGAGAAATGCCTCGACCTCAAGGTATTTTGCTTCGACGACCGCCTTGTTAATAGTTTGTGAGGGCTCGACGAGTACGCTCGGTGTCGGTTTCCCTGCAGACTGTTTTAGTTCTTGTGTTTTGTTTACTTCCTGTGTGTCGTTTGAAACGAGCTCCTAAAGTGGTGAATTTGTCTTAGTGCAGACTGGAAAGCTCTTCTTGGTAAACAAAAACTCCGATGAGAGCAGTTTTGGAGAACCCTGTGACACGTGGATCACTGAATCGGTCTGCGCACCACTTGCTCATGAGTTCTTGAGCAGTAAGGAGTCGGAGAAGCTCAAGCAAGACGCTGGACTGAGAGTATCGTCTTCTTCGTCTTCTGGAAGTCTGCGTGATTCCGATGGTAGACAAAACAACTGCAGCCATCTACTTTCCTCATCTGGCCGAAAGCAGCTGTGGAATCTGAACGGTGATGACTGTGGTCTGGCATCATTGAGCGGCAGTTCCGGTAGCAGTCCCAAAGCAGCCAGGCAAGTCTCAATGGATTTGAATTTGGAGCTGGACCTGAATCTGTCCACTGGTGCATCGGCTGAATCTCCTATTCGCCGTCAGGAACAAGCCGTGTGCACCATGGAGATGATCCAGAATGCATTGAAAAGGGTAGAGGAGAAGCCTTCAAGACCTCGCCTCAAACAGAGCCTCTCCTCTACCTTCTCATCACTCATTTCCCCTCGCTCAGAACCGTCTGGGGCCTCTCCTTCTACTAGCAGCTCATCCGCATCTTCCAAATCGACTCTCAGGGTGGACGAAGCGGAAAGCGTAACATTTGAGCCGAATGCGATCGGCTCTAGCGCCTATTCACTAGTAATGGGAGCATGCACGCGCTGCCTCATGTATGTGATGCTCAACAGAGGCGACCCTCGATGTCCCAGATGTAATAGTCAAGTTCCTGTAGATTTTAGTGCGGCTCCTCCTTCCAAGAGACTAAGACATAGAGGCGACCAACAGTTTAGAGCCGACAGAAGGTGACGATGAAGTAGCGCCGGAGTTAGATGCAGATTAGATTTAAGACTCGATTCTGAAGTTCGTTGCGCAGTAGCCATCTCTGTGCCTCGTACCATACAAGAAAGATGCTCCACATTTTACTTAAGCTTCGTCGGAGCTGAGGCGGGTTTTGCCATAAGTGCCCATCACGTCTTAGAACGCAACCTCGATTGTTGTATATTATACATCCAAGTTAGCAGTAAATCTTCTGCAGACCTCCTTAAGCTGCAGTATGTATCATGAGTTCGTTTCCATTGCAACGTGCAATTTGAGCGTTATCACTGGCCTCAGTTGGACATGCTCGACCTTTTTTGCATTCTCATGGAACGTTTGTGGATTTGGTGCTTCGAAAACAGTACCCGAAAGTGCAGTTCATTTGCAGGGTATGTCATTCTCAATGGTGATATCTGTACACTTTTAGTGCGGGTTCTCGATAGTATGTACGAGCCCATTATCACACTCGGTTTAGCCTTGGAAGTAGCACTTTCTATTACCTCGAAATTACCACCTTCATCCTCACGTTGCAGTTTGTAAATACGCGCGCGCAGTTGGTAAATTTGATCGGAGCTTTTATTCGGTTGCAGACATGGCTACACATGCTCCTGATCAGTTAATAGCAACTGTGTTTACAAACTGGCAGTGAGAACCTAATTTCCTTGTTTGCAGAAAAAGCAGACCACTGAATTTTGTAGCTCTACTCCTCCGTAAAGCTGGGGTACACTGTCGGTCGGAATCTCTCTTAAGTTTTAAAATTCAGCCACACTGAGAACTTGTACTCATAAAAGGAAATAAACATAGATGTCTCTTAATTAATTAATTTATTTATTGCAATGTCACTACATTTCTTTCTTTCTACTGAACATACACGATTTGAGACTGTTTAAATCTCAAAAGCATGAAATCCAGCGAAATTCTCACATTTTTTTTTCTCTCGTTTAAAATTATCTACGCGGTCTGACTAGACGAATAAGTCGTTCACACCTGCCGAAATGTGCCCGACGAGAAATCACAGCTTCCCTCCTCGAGGCCAGAAAACTCAACCTTCCACCATCCACATTGAGGACTCTGGACAGTTCGCGAGCGCAATAAAATATCAGTCGAGAAAAACCAGCAGGCGACTCAAACATCGTGGGCCATCGACAAATTCGACACGTTGCAGACCACAAAGTCCAAGTCAACCCACGTATGCAGAGAATGCTCCAATGCTAACGAAACACGAAGCCCACACTTAACTAACAATCCGAGCTCCCACCGACAATTCGGGGATCCCTGGCAGCTGGGTCAAGGGTTCAGGAGGGGGGCAGCGGATCCAATTTTCGGTGAAGTTGCACGGATAATATGCGGGGAACACCAAAAGATCCGCAGCATTAAATTACCAGAAGCCACTGCAAAGCAACGCGTACGCACGAATGGAGCTGCCACCGTAACTCCGAAAGTCTTATAAAACAAAGTCCATAGTCAAAAGCGTCAATCTATTGCTTGGAATTCGCAACCGTCCACGTTGAATCGACGGTAGCGGCAACGCCGTGTTAGCTCCGGACCTTTCTGTGACCAGATTTTCTTGCAGTAAGCGAAGCTTAAAGCATGTGAGACGAGTGCGAGAGAGATTGTAGGGTGGGGCAGGCAGGCAGGCAGGCAAGCAGTGAAGGCCACGATGGGGACCATCAAACACTCGCACTCCTCCTACTCCTACTGCCACTTGAGCTCCGATGCTTCCAATACTAGCAATAACAAAACCAACCTTCGCCATCACCTTCGTCGCCTCCTCGTCGTCCACAACGGCCCTCGCTCGCTCCTATTCACGCCGACGCCGACCTGAACGTGGCCCCACAGCCAGCTTCGCCTTAAAGGTGGTGCTGCTGTTTATGACAGAGCCTGCATCTTTTACTTTTAGGGCTCCTTCCTCCTTTTTGTTTCCCTTTTGTCTTTTGCGTTCTTGTCTTATTGATTCTGCGGTCAGAGTACTCTCTTTCTTTCTTTCTTACTGTTGTGCTGGGATTTTGTGTTGTGTGCTTTTCACAAGGTGTATCATTTCTTGGATTGGTATTTGTTTGTAAACATCTCGTTGATGTTGATGATTTGTAGGAATGAAATGCAGACTTAGAATATCCGTGTACAGAATTTGTAAAAAGAGAGCACGTGAAAGATGAGCAGGATGCTGACCAAAATTAGAGTGGACATTGTAGCTACGATGTGGAAATGAACACAGTATAATTACTCGAAAAGAAAGAAACATATGCTAAAAGTTATGTCTATTGAATGAAAGAAAAACACGTCATTCAATACACATTTATTTTGGTATTGCAGGTGTTTATGCTATTTATTTAGTATCCATATACATATATATATATATATATATATAAACACATTATAAAATACAATATGTATATAACCAAAGAAATTAGAATATGAAAAAAAAAACAAATGTAAAATAAGATGTAAATATTAAAACAAATAAAAGAAAGTAAGCAGGTGAAAAATATAAATAACATAACTAGTAGTTTTCTAAGCAAAATTTTAGGATATTTCTAATGCCACCACAACCTACTATCTGTTTCATAGACAAAACTATCTAAAATATTGTAGAAATGAATAAATTCTCATGCATTGTTAAAGCATAAATATGAATACATAGCCCTAAATCTATATATCCAATTTATCTAAGATAAAAATTATGAAACTTCAATTCAAACTATGTAAAAATAAATTATTGACCTTCAAAGAATTGAGGGCTTTAGATAGATTGGCACTTATAAAGTTTAGAGTATAAAACATAATCAATAGACATATTTACATTTTATTCATCCATGAGAGTTTAGTCATTCTTATAATACTTTAAAATAGTATTATGGACTGCAAGATGTAATGACAATAGCAAAAAATAATAATATTAGTAATATCTATATTTTATAGTAATAAATTAAATATCTAATTTAAGAATTTAAGAATTAAAAATTAAAAACATATGATAGTATTAATTTTTTATATCAATACACATATATTAATAAAAAAATATTCTTTTGAAAAATATATATAAAAATTATAAAACATATCAATAAAGAGTAGAAAATATTAAATTGACCTTATCAATCGATAATTTGATTTATTCATCATAACTAGCATTGTATCTCCCATTCCTTATCACAATCTTCCCAACTTTACTTTTAATTTCCAATCTTCATTTTCAACCATGATTTCCTTGTCTTGTATTCCAATCTTCTAAACAATGAATGTGGAATGCTAAAAATTGTAATATACTTATATTAAAATTATAAAAATAATTAATATAGTCTAAAAATATGTACATATTTATCTTATAAAAAGACACTATAATGTAAAATGCTTATTTAACAATGTAGTTGAAGGAAGTTTGAGTACAACAAAGCACATGAGAGACACCATGGAGTAGATAGTGCACGTGAATACACTTATAGGACTTGCATATAGGACTGCTTGCATGTCATGAGTTTTCTTTATTTTAGCATTTGTATGTAAAGGATTACAACAATCTTTTGCAATGTGGCAATAAGTAGCACAAGAAGCACTTTGAAGCATATTGGTATAGGATTTGTGGAAATCTAATATAGAAGTTTAGATTTTGGCATAAATAAGGATCATATAAAACATATTATGAAGCTAAAGCTATCTTTGGACAATTTGGAGAAGGTCCACAATTTTTACTTCACAAAATTATGCCACATAGAGATTCTACATTAAACATTGAAGTTGAGCTATACCTTCATGGTGTTCTTATCTAACAATTGTTCATGTGATAATGATGGAGATGTAGTAGGTGTAGATTGTGTCACGGCCATAATCATGTAAGCTAATAATTACATATAGAAATAGGTAGAAGTAAGTAAAAGTAGATAAAAGTAAATTAATTCTATAATATTTAATATAGAAGCTTCCTAGAAACTTCCTAGACGCTACTTTGACTTCATAGGTGTCTTTAATTGACTTTTTGGATTAGAAACGTGGTCAACAAGTTGGCCATGTGCCACACATGTTGTTAGCTTGAAGATCAAGCTAACTATGTGGCCCACACATAGAAAAACTTGCCTTGTAAATCAAGGCATGTGCCCTACAAAGTCAACACCTATTGGAGGTCCTATAGAACGTCGCCACGTAGCTCTTAGTTAGATAGTATATATAGAGACAAGAGTGAAGGCTTCTTCACTCTTGTCAACTCCTTTCTTGCTTCTAGTCCAGGTTCAAGAGTCTTTAGTTTCTAGTCTTGTGGCAATAGCCATTCCAGTTTCCTTTTAATATACTTACTTGTTTATATTTTGACTTATTATATCGAGATAGCCTTTTGTGTATATTTTCCCTCATCAAGTCTTTGTCCTTGACAGATTGACAAGAGTACACTTACAATATCAGAGCTTTGTTTTTCTTGAGTAAGAGTGGATTACCTCTTTCTCTTGACAAGACATAAGCGTATTAGAAGTTTGCGGATTACCCACTTCTAAACTGATATTGTTCTTAGTATCTTCTTTGTTATCAAGTCTTTCTTTTCTTTTGTCTTGAGCAGTATCAAACAAATTTTTCTTCTTAGTGTCATTATGGCAGAGCTTGTTGAAATGAAGAGTGCAATGGCACAAATGCAAGAGTAAATGAGGGAGTTAATGCTTGCGATGCATCAACTCAATTCACCAACACATGAAAGAACAAGAATAGGAGAAAGTGGGAATATAGAGATGATCGGAGCTGCTTCAACATCTACAACAAATCATGTTCCTTCTCCAATTGTACAACACCCTATAAGCACTAGAGAACCAAGAATTACCTTACCTGAGAAATTTGATGGTACGAGATCAAAGTTTCGAGGGTTCATCAATCAAGTATAATTGGCAATTGAACTTCAACTGCAAAGCTTTCCAACTCCAGGATCACAAGTCAGGTTTATTGGTACTCTACTTTCTGGTTCTACATTATTGTGATTTTCGTCTTTTCTTGAACAACGAAATCCAATATTGGACAATTTGGAAGCTTTTTTGGTGGAGTTTCGATCTATGTATGGTGAACACGATGCAACTCGTGTTGCAACAAATAAGATCCGAACTCTGCGACAAGAAAATCGCTCAGTAACAGTGTATGCTTCACAATTTCGACAACTTGCAATTGACATCAAGTGGGATGATGCTGCACTCATCAGTCAATTTCTTTATGGATTGCAATACGAAGTAAAGAAATTGATGCTCAACTTACCTGATCCTCAAACTTTGAGTCAAGCAATTGATTTTGCGGTAAAATGTGATAATCGACTTTTCAAATTTCGATCCGAAAATCATTC